CTGACCCATCCTCGATGCACCTCAGCAACGTGGCTCATTCCGGCTGACCTGCGACCTCAGCGCTCATGGTCGCCTAGCGAAGGAGAGAGCCCCGTGCCACACAGGACCACGGCCTCAAGGCGCACGACAAGCGCGCCTTCGAGGCCACGTTAAAAGATTGCGGCGCAGCAGCCGCCTGGGTGGCCGTTGCCCAGAACAGCCCCCAATTGTGGAGAACGGAAACCCAAAGGGGCAGCACGCACCCTCGTTTTCCGTCCAAGCAGAAAGTCCAACGACCGTGACAGGTCGAACGTCCGCCCAGGACGGGCTGCGCGCAATTGCGGCGCGGCAACGAGAAGCTACCAACGACACACTGCCGTGCTCACTTGAGCCAAAAATGTTATGAATACGAATTACAGAAGAGCATGCATAAAAGCATACAGCACAACAGCCAGCCCGCAGACTATGTACAGTTACAAGTAGCAGTAGCAGTAGCAGCAGCAGTAGCAGTAGCAGTAGCAGTAGCAGTAGCAGTAGCAGCAGCAGTAGCAGTAGCAGTAGCAGTAGCAGTAGCAGTAGCAGTAGCAGTAGCAGTAGCAGTAGCAGTAGTAGTAGTCGTCGTGGTAGTCGTCATAATAGTAGTATGATTATAGCAGTAGCAGTAGCAGTAGCAGTATCAGTAGTGGTAGTGGTAGTGGTAGCGGTAGTGGTAGTGGTGGTAATGCACATGAAGTTCCGCGATTTTAGGACTGAGGGTGTTCAGTCACGCGCATGCTGGCAGTTTCCGGGTGAGCTGATCCACAGACCAACAGTCTAGGTTCACAAGCCAAGACTGACTGCGAGATTTTTACTCTTTCCACTGGAAATTCACACTCCGACTACTGGAGCTTTACGTTTGGGTTGGTGCCAGCAGGCTGGCCATCACGTCAGTCCGCAAATGAGCGAGTCTAAAGCAGGAAGTAGTATAAGAGCACTGAGAGCAATCATTGAGTTTAGGGTTGCAGCCGTAATGATGGTATTTGCAGACCCTCGAATTGGAGGACGTGGCTGGATGCAGTGATTGTCATTGTGGATGCAGGCATACGGAATTGGACATGCAAGAGGCGATCCCTTCTGTCCGATCACTGTTCCGATCGTGACCAGGAAGGATGAGGATGATCAGTGGCCCACAGGAGCAGGACGAGGAGGAGGAGGAGGAGGAGGAGGAGGACGAGGATGGCAACAACAACCCAATCTAGACAGTCATGTTGCTAAAACGTGCTAAAATTGCAGTCGGTTTTCCAGTTTAAGCTTCAGTGCTGTTGTTGCGACTACGACTGCAAAATGATCCTTGTGTACCAACATCGCATACCTTTGTGAAGATCATTCTCAGCAGAGGCATCAACAAAACAATAAATGATCGAACACCATGACAGGTTGCTGATATCATCATCAGGGCTCAGCCTGCTTTCGCGGCCCAGTCTCTTGTAAGGTCTGCTGTAGCGTCGCCCGCCTGGACACCAAGAGACTGCAGAAGAGGTTTACCAATGTAGGTCTTCGCAATGTCTGGGTTTCGCAGCTAGTTTGTGCATCAGCTTTGTGGAATTCCATCCTAGAGCATTCAATCATGTACACATCATCCTCGGACTGATATAACTCAAGCTTCCTAGTTTTAAACGTTGCAAAGCCCGTAGAGCTGGGAAAAGTACTGCGATATCCGGTCACCCTCACATGCAGTCTCTCGGAATGGGCACTTCAGCGTCCACCATGATATTCTCGATATGTTTCTTCAGCATCTTAGAGTTTTCCCAAAGAATCTTGTGCGAATCGTCCAGCGCGGACAAAAAGCTCTTGAGGTGCTCACAGCTCGATCTCGAAGCGATTTCACCTTTTGTCCGACACCTGTCCGGTGCGATCCTCGTCACAGGCTGTTCCATCAACCTCACGCGCAATGCCCAGCATTTGGCTTCATTAGCTTTTGTATACCCTGCATCGCAGCAGCGTGCCCGACTGCCCTTCGTGACTTGACTTTGCAGGGTTTGCGCGGTTAGATTCGGATGCTCTTGACGGGCGCTGCCCAGTTCACGCTTGTCCTCTACCTTTCCGGCAAAGTTCATGTGGATGTTTGCAGTTTCGGACCATTTTGATCAGGTGGATAGAGGACGGTGGGGCTCAACCGAGACAGGGCTTGGCAGGGAAGCAGCTGGCTGCCAGCGGCTCAAGCACGACTTTGGTTAGGCATGTGCAGCCCTTCCACGCTCAAACCTCATGAGACCTGACCCCCCAATCTCCGCTGTGCTCAGCCACGAAGTCCCCGCAAGCTCACAGCGGCTTGGCCGAACGTACGCCTGCTGCCTTAGGTCAGCACACAGACATATGTCTTGTCCAGTAAAAGAACACCGGGAATCTGTGCCCACTGCAGACGGCTCCTTATGAACGTGCAGACGACGACCCCAGTCGGACCCGATGCTGCCAGGCTTCGAGACGAAGCTCCGAGCAAACGCAAAGCCCCCCGATACCTCCAAGGGATACCCAAAAGATTTAGGGGGGTTTAGACAATAGAAATGAAAATTGCAACCCCAGCTTCCACTCACGGCAATGGAGCTGGCACACCCCTTGCTCACCACTGCCGGTCCTGTGCTGGCAGCCCGCAGCTCTGCGCGGAAGAGACTTGCAGCAGTTTAGTGAAGCTTCAGAGTTCCGGATGGAGGGATGAGGCTGGTTGTGGCGAGGCTTGAGGTTTCGAGGGGCTTAGGTCTCAGCAGTCAAGCCAAGGCATGTTCACCTCCGTCCGAGCTGCCCACTTATGATCTCCCCCTACTTTCACTCAAAATCTTCTCGAGCTCATGACCTGCAAGGCCGGAGCCCCTGCCACGTTCCCGGGCGGGATGCGCCGTCGCTGCGGCGTCAGGCGCTCTGGCTCCTGCACACTTAACGCGCGGCCGGGTGAGGCCCATGGGGAGTTGCGAAAGTGCATGCATTTGTGCTCATATTATGGCTTTGCTACTTTTGAGCAGTGCGCATGTGCAAGTCCGTCTGCATGTGAAGGTGCGTGTAGATGAAAAATGGAAGTAGGGCTTGTTCAAGTGTTCTGGCTGTTCTAAGCATCGAATCATGTGGTCATGCCATATGAGCAGAGGCTGCTGCCACTAGCACCACAGGACGACATACGACGACGGCTATGGCCATTGTTGCCTCTATTGCTGTAATCAGTATGTAAGCAGTTTTAAATATGTCTCATTAGCAAATCATCTCCGTATCCTTCGCCATCGAATTCTGTGTTGCAGGCTACTACTAGTAAGTGAATCACTGCCAAGTTGGATCTTCCGTTTGCCATTGCATATGCTGCACTTTGTTCGACATCCGCAGGTTCACTGTCGCTGCACCCTTGTGTTCAAGGCTAGCAGAACTAAGCCAAGTCCCCGGTAGCTTGTTCTGCAGTCCATGGCGTGTCTGTGAATCCACAGCCCTCATCTCGGAGGCGGCGTGCAGAAGGCAGCGACAAACCAGGCGCGTGGCAGTGAGTATTGGGTTTGCTGGCAGACCACGCTTGCACTTAAAGCCCGATCTTGCCATGAGTTGCAAGCGGCGGGAGAAGCAAAAGTTGTGGCCAGCCCCTGCGAGTTGTTCCTGAGAATATGTGACTTGTGTGTGGAAGTAGTCGTCGTCATGCTACGGTATGCTTGAGAGCAGCAGCAACAACAACTAGAGCCCCTCGTTGGCTCGTTGGTTTCCATTGGTACAATTATTGAACCCTCTCAAGTTTTGAGAGAGAAGCAGATTCTACGCAAGTTCAGGGCTCCCCGCACCTACCTGTTTGGCAATTCCGGGCAAGCTTCAGTTCCACGGTTGTGCGGTTTGGATTTGCTGCTCAATGTCGCGGAGTCAGGCTTAAGGATGCAAAATCCAATACGACGCCAGAACTACTTGTCAAGCCTTGTTGCAAGCTGCTTGATGCACTCATGAAATTTCTGTGCTTGGGTAGCACGGCCTGGGTGGCAGAGCTGGGGTGTTTTGAAAATTAAGCAAATTCGTGTGGAGCAAAAGGCTCGGGGTGGAGCCTCAAAGCGCCTTACATCTGGAGACTAAGGCCAGACTAGAACCCCAAACGATCTGAAATCTCCCAAGCAGCAACCACACGACCTCACGCCTTGTCCACTTCTTACCTATCCGCACAATGCACAACTTGAGAGGACTTCCTTCGGACAAAGGAATTGCATGTGGTGAGTTTTATGAGGCGGAAAAGGGTTGCTTGTTTTCTGGGATACTGGAAAAACAGACATGCCGCCAACCATAAGACGAAGAATCAAGCAGGCGCCAGTGGCAAGATGTCAATGTTCATGATGATACTCAAAGTCATGACGAAAAGACTAGCATTGGGAATTATGGTTGAAGCAGCAGTGGTTATAGCCGTAAAGGTACCGTAAAGGGAGCAACAGTAGCCTGAGCAGCAGCAGGAGCCGCTGTAACAATAGGAGAAGTAGTGTAAGGGCAGTAGCCTACTACTGCTGCTACCGTAGTTGTCCCGCGGTCGCGCCGTCGTGCGGTCGTGCGGCGGCGGTGGTGGTGGTGGTGGTGGTGGTGGTGGTCGTGGTCGTGGTCGTGGTCGTGGTCGTGGTCGGGGTGGTGGTCGTGGTTGTGGTCGTGGTCGTGCCGGTCGCGGTTTTCGTGGTGGTCGTGGTGGTTGCAGCAGTAGCAGTAGTAGTAGTCGTCGTCGTAGTAGCAGCAGCAGGAAGCGGAGAAGTGTGAACGACGAACGACACCGACAGGCCTTGATGGGGTGAAGAAGTGGATCGAAGAGAAGAAAGCGCAAGGTACAGCTGGTGCGCGGCGCTGAGGCTAATCCTGCCTTGCCACAGACAGTTTCCCACATCTGGATCAGGCACGCAAGCTGCCGTATAGACTGGTTCTCAGCATTGGCTACCTATGCAGATATAGCGAGTGGAGACGTGAGATCGTGCCCTTGCGGGATTTGTTGTCGTGTTAAGTACGTAGCCATGTGTTCGCTCTGTCTTGGGCTAGTAGCAATGACTTATTCTCGCATGTCACAAGCGTCCTTCCGGGTAAACGGCGATTGTGTGACAAAGGTCGGCGGCGCTGTCGTCGGCGGAATGCTTGGCGGCCCCATTGGCGCCGTCGTCGGCGCACAGGCCGCGAAACCAACCGGTCATGCTTTAATACCGACTGTGTGCAATGTGCGGTTGTTGCGTTTGGGGAAAGCTTGGGCCAAAGACAGTTTGTCGACGACGATGGATCTGTCCGCGGCTATCCAGGGCTTGTGGTTCCTCGAAGTAATTTTTACAACAAGAACCTGGAAGCCTAATCCTCGCTGCGGAGACAAGTTCTAAGTCTAAGTGCCATGGTGAAATCCGGCCTCCTGGTGTTGACCGGGACTGTAGCAGCCGGGCAACTCTTCAGGTCTGACTTCGAAGGTCTCGATTAAAGCTCCAGCCCCACCGAGCCTGACCTCCTTGAAAGGTGGCTTCAAAAATGGGCCCAGCCCTGGACAGTGCACTCCAAGCACTGGAGGGTGACCTGGAAGAGGAGGAGGAGAAGAAGGATGAGGAGAAGAAGGAGGAGCCAGAGCAGGCCACCTGCAGCAGTGAAGTATGCAAGGCATTAGTCAAAGAGGAACCCTTGCCTGGCGTCTTGCCGGTGCGATTTTCGGATACCGGGTTCCTTGGGAGTGGGATCTGTTGGCCTCGTGCAGAAAATCCACGACGTCAAGCCCTGTCAAGCACTGCGATGCAGGCTCCTGCAAAAAAGGCCGTTCAAGCCGAATCAAAGGCCCGAAGATCTGTGCTGCGTGTCTGTACATTATTTCAATGTGCAAAGATAAACATGTGAACATACGCCGTGACACATAGACAATGTCATATGCAAATTCATGCTTACATGAATAATGTGCAAATACACCCTACATACATAGATGCATAGGTACGCACATACGCACGTACATATATAGGAGTGTAGGTGTGCAGGTATAGACGGCATAGACATAGATGTAAGTTCAAGTATAAACTGAAATAAACATGTATGCTATGCATACACACACACATGCGCACACACACGCAAGCACATCATGCCATGCCATACCATACCATCTACCATACCGTACCATACCATACATACCCTACATACATACATACATGTTCATACCTGCATACATACCTCAAGTTGCATGCATACAGGCATACATACGTACGTTTGATTGTTGGCATTCCAAATGCATGCAGCATGCATGTGTACATGTGTTGATATGCGTGTGTATGTATGTACGGACGTATGTATGTATGTCGCACGTATGTATGCAGGCATGCATGTTTTTGAATGGATGGCAGTATAACTCAATATATATATATATATATATATATATATATGTGTGTGAATAAGCACATAGCTTCTACATAGGTGCATATACACACATGAATATCCTCATTGAGACTCTTGGTTCCTTATGTTGAGAGACTCAGGATTCAGCGTACATGGTATCGCTTCGGGTCTACACTGGGTATGTTCTGGTGCTTGTGCTGCTTGGTCCCAGTACCGAATTAAAAGAACCCTGGGTCGTTTTGCAAAACTCGGGAGCTTTGCGGGGTGCTTGTGTGTGACACTCCATGCTTGCACCATAGCCTCAGCCCAAGGTCTTACATATTAAAATAGAACTCCAAGTAGGCCAGCACTGCCAATCTTGCTCTAGTGATGTTCAGCCTTGTTGTTGACTGCTGTGGTTTGCTGGTCTTCAAACTCAGCCGATGGGGTAGATCTACAGGTCTGGAGGTCAAGCCGATGGGTTACAAGAGGTAGAAAGGCAGGTTGCGGTAGGAGTAGACAAGATGAGGTAGGTGATCTGCAGACAGATGAATGGACTTGGGTCTTTCGTTCTTATGCAGGCCTCGCCATCACAGCCGGGAACTGCCGCGAAAGTTTCCGACAAGGACCTCCCCATACCTGCTCTTCTCAGGTTTGGGGTCGAGAGGCTTGCTGTTGAGACTCGCAAACCCGCAAAATGCCAAAGGGCAAATCCCCCAAACCTTCGCAAATTTGCAAGCTGCCTGATGCCGGGTCTGTGTTGAGCCGCACACCTTGGCGACAGAAACACTTCGCAGAGAGAAAGAGAGAGTTAGGGCTCGTTTTCGGATGGTGCTGCCAATGGAACTCATGATGGTCTCCTGCAGGATAGACTCAGGCCTTGGAGAAAGCAGTTGAACAAGCCGGATTGCAGGCTTCCAGGTCCAATCGCACTTCAAACGTTTGACTTTTGCGCACCTCAATCGTCGGGATAAGGCAGCACACCTACCTTCAAACCCAATATTTGAGCTTTAAAACTCTGAGCATCCTGAGCATCCCTGAACCCGAAGTCTGCACTCACTCGAGGCCCCTATGCCTGCTGAAGATGTGTCGGAAGCTCAAAGCAGCGCATCTGCGCCAGCCGGCAAAGCGGGCTCCTTTCTCTTGAAAGTTCTGGGTCTTGGGCTCGGGGGCTCCAGACAAATGACCGAAGTGCAAGCTGAAGGTTGTGGGTGTCAAGGAGTTTGGTTAATTAGTCGTGCGTGCATGTGTCTGAGATAAGTGATGGCATGTGGAACAGCTTTGACGATCAGTGTATACATTCAGGATCCAGCCCAGTTTACCGCAAGAATCACCCCAAAAAGACTTTCAGATATCCGTTCTGCGGGGCCTGAGTCTTGAGGTCGGGTTGCCTCGCTTGTCTACATCCCCTAGCACCATCTAACATGATCCCTGGTTTAACGCCGGAAAACCTTCAAGAGACATCCGGGTTGACAACAAACACCCTGACGCCTTGTTTTTAGGCTTCAAAGGTTTTTGGTCTCGGAAGCCTTCTAAGGAGCTCCGGCCGACATGCCCAGCCCTTCTGCGAGAGGCGATAAGCTCACCCACTGCACACAAGCAGGTTTTGGGCCGCGAAGGATCACGAAGTGCCAGTGTGAGGTTTGGGGGCTTGTAGGTGTGTGGAGGTCCGGGATGCAAGAGGTCTACGACCTACAGTTGAAATGAGGTCTTAGGGCTGCATGGATTGGTGTCATTGCTCTTGTTGCTTAGCATTCCGCGGGATGCAAAGTCATTGCGTTTTGGCTGTCAGAAAGCTCAATGCCCTAAGAAACGCTGGTGTGACACCCCGTGGCGAAGCATATCGCAGCAACGAGGCGAACTTCAAGCAGTTGTTGAGGACGCAACTGCTTGCAAGTAATGTGTGGGCTCGACATCTGAAACTTTCACCATCCTACAGCTGTAAAGGGCACCCTCGCCAACACCACAAGTCACGCGCAGCCGCTCGACAGGTGACGACCTCATGGACGAACTTCAGGCATTGCGGAGCCTTGTCTGCAGTAGGCTGCAAGCCGTTTGATGGACTGCGTATGCCATCGGCCCCCGAAAGGAAAGGCGTCCCGGAGAAGGAGAAAAAGTTGGAAGCTGAGATTGCGGAGCTCTACGCCAAGGCGAGGCCTCGAAACGACAGCTAGCCGCCCTGCTTGTCCATACTCGGGAGCCCTCTGTCTATGTGGACCTGCTCTTGAAACGGACGTTACATCCTCAATCTTGAGATTCCATACAGCTGTCCTTCAAAATCCCGGAAACAAATGAGAGAAGGTCTTGAACTCGGCCTGCCCCCAGACACCCGGATCCTGTCCTGTCGGCCCAAACCGTCCGCCAAATCCTGCGCTAGGTCTTGCATATGGAAGGCGTTCCCAGTAACAGCGGGACGGGTATAGTAACGGTGCGTAAGGCGAGTGGTACAGCTTGCAAGGGGGGTAATGGGGAGTAGAAAATTCTGCCCCTCTGTGCACTGTAATTGCCCCCTCCTTATGGTGCTGTTCTTGCGTTCTAGCCTTGAGTTGCATATGAAGTCTTGTCACATTGAAGCTTCAAATATTGGGTTTAAGGCCAAGTCTGTGCCTGCAGAGCTTTGCAACGAAAGTGCGTAGAACCCGGTGTCTGCAGTCTGTGATTCCAAAAGGCGCGAGACGCCCACCAAACCGAAGACCCTTTTTTCAAAGCATTGGCAGTGCTGGCGACGTGCGCGAAATCGCTGCAAGGCAAAAGAGGCGATGAAAGTCGGTCCTGCACTCAGCAGCCGGAACAGGAAGACCGAATGATCACAACGCATAAGATGCCGTTACATGTGCCAGACCTAGCGCAGAGCAAGTATGAGACCAGTAGGTCTGAGCAGCACCGGCAGGTATGCTCTTCCACAATTCATCTGCCCAGGCGATGAAGAGGCAGCTCGCAAGCTTCTGGAGTCTAAAGCGCAGGCTCAGGCCTGTTGTGCTTACGGATGATGGATCTCCATGGCTTTTGGCAAGGCGGACTGGAGTTCCATCCTCTCGCAGTTTAACTTTGTTTTTGTTGCGTCGACGCATGTGAGATGCAGCCCGCTTCGCTGTCAAAACCGTAAGCAAGACCTTTACATTCTTTGTCCGACTGCTTGACTGAACATGAGGTTTGTGGGCACTGGCTTTGGATCAAGAAGCCCTTGCAAAGACGTCTCAGCCACATCCTTTCTGAGACATGATGGAATAATCGTAGACGAAATACGCATTTCTGCCGTCTTTGTGTAAGCCCCAAGTTTTGGACGCTACAAAACCTTGACCCTTTCCTGACTAGGTGTTGAATTTCAACTTTGGGAGGAAACCTCGGTCACTATATGCAACAGTCAACCCCGAACCCTACATAGTCAGTGCGAGTGTGCTTTGGCCTCACCAGTTAAACCAACACCTGAGCTCCAGACAACACTCGCACGTCCGCTTTGTCCCACAGCGAGGCCTTGCCCAAGACACCACAAATCGCCCAAGTCCAACTCACACACCATAAACCGTTAGCTTTTGTAAATCGAAGTCGTTCACAGACGCTTTCGACTGGCGAGGCCAGTTTGGAGAGTCTCCGCGCTGGCCAGCAGAGCCCGAGCCCGAATGCTACTGCTACTGCACGACTGCTACGACTACCACCCCCACGACAACTACCTTGTTTCATCTCCTACTTCTGCTCCCACTGCAGCTACTTCTGCTGCTAATTGTATTTGTACCACTACAGCTGCTACCCGAGTTCTGTTACCACTAACGCTGGTGCTACTGCTGCTACCATTACCGCGACTACTATTGCTACCTGAACTACTCCACATCTTTTTACGACGATTACTGTACGTTCGTGCTTGTTTCCCATCGCATCGCATGGTTTCTATTCCTGCCCGGTCCTCCTCACATGTTCAACTTCGCCATCAAGATCACCATCGCCAGCGCCACGCCAACCATAGCAACAGCATCATCGTCGTCGTAGCCAGCATCCAGTTGCTGTAAGCCTGTCAACCTTAAGCATTCAACTTGAAAGGTACGATACAGCACAAAATACCCTCATCGGTGGAAGCCGAACCATGAACCCCAAACCTGAACCCTGAAGCTCTGACACCCCAAGCCTCAAACCCTCGCTACTACAATACTCCTGGAGTCCTCTCGGTCCAATGAGGGCGCGCGGCGCAGCAATCCGAGCAACTCGAGTCCTTGGAGTTTCAAGTCAAGGCACGAAGCCACGGGTTCAGAGCATGTCTGCGTTGTAGGGTTCCAGGGTTTAGGGTTAATGAAATAGCATCCACATCACAGCCGAAGTGATGTTCAGCATCGACCATTGTAGACAGATGAGTAAGACCGAGAAGCTAGAAGTCTCTAGCCGCGAAGCTTTTATAAGTCTACAGCCTTGCAGAATATTTCATTTTGGTTTGAGCCTCGCTTCCTGACAGGCCGGAGGCCTGGTAAGGTAACGGTTCTTTTGATCTCGAAACCGTACAACTAGCCCTCAAGGCGCAAATTTGGATCAATGCCGAACTCCTGAGTCCTCCGTCGCAGACTTCACCCTTGCATCCTACCTACCCAAACCCTGCATTCAAAACCTCATTTACAAGAGCGCGAGCGTGGCCAGGATCTCTACGCGCGGGCGGAGCTCTGCCTGTTCACAGGGGCATTGGGGAGTGGTGCTTACGGGCCCTGGGCCCGAGGTTCAGAACTGCAATGAATGTCGGGCTTGCACTGGAAATCGCAAGAAATTGAGACGCGGAAAGAAGAAAACTTCTTCTTATGGCAATTGTAATTGGGTGATTCTGGGGAGGGCTGTGTTGTCGTTCCGAACATGGAGCCGACTGGTATACGTATCGGAATGGAATGGATTGACAGAGTGTGAACACACTGGGTAGATGCCTCTTTCTCAGAGTATCATAATCTAGCCGTGTAATTGTCCGTTCAGGGGACATTGAGGGTGGCGGTGCGGCTGCTGTCATCGATGTCTCTCGTCCTGTTCCAGTGTCCTCATGTTTAACGGGCCTGCCACTCTGTTTTGTTGACATAGCGAAACATAATGGAATTCATGATTGCTGCTGGCATCTGTCTTTCAGAATTTCGGAAAAGCCAGCCATGAAGATACAGCTTCAGGAGAAGTCATTGATCGCCGGCAACGAGACAGAGGCCCGGCGCTGCCTGCAGGCACTCCGGGAGACCTGAGTTTCGAAGTGTTTATCAGGACCATTTCCCGGCTGGCGGGTTTGAGGCAGTTGGATTGAGGACGGTTTTTAGTCAGGAAACTTGATGTGCCGTGACTCAGAGTTGATGGGACTCGTTTCCATCCCATGGTCTAGTAAGAGTGTCCGCGTGGGATCAACTGTCAGACAATTGATCAATAGTTCCATCGTCCGGCTACAAATGGATTTGGGTAGCTTGGTGGTACTTATCGGATCATACACTCCGCCAGGCGTGCTAACATGGTACAGTGTCAGCACACATCTAGCAACCAGCCGTTCTTGTCGTAGGCCTAGGTCTTCAAATGGATCCGAAGCGGAAGCCCAGACGTTTCATCCTCTACACCCGGTGGTTTCTGGGTTGTGACCTTCAGCTTCAACTGTTTGTAGTCAGGGACAACGTGAAGGCACCGGTGCCGGAGGGAAAGACCTGAATCTCTCTGAATTGAAGAACGAATAAGGCAGTAATGCCAAATGGTTTGTAATCATTGTGTTCGGGTCACTCGAGAGCTCTGTGGGAACTTCTAGTATAATGGCGGCGGGGTTCCGAGGCTGATGATGAGTTTGTTTGTACACAACAGCTGTGGCCCAAATCCAATGCCCACTCTGCAAAGCCAGTTCAATTTTACGGCATCGAAAAGGAGCGGGAGCAAGCACTCGAGAAGCTGGCGCAGCTCCAGCGGGCACGGGAGTCCTGATCGGTCAATGTTTGCTCCGATTGGCTGTGTCAGCGGAGTTTTGGGGCCCGACTTAAACTCCCGAACTCCACGGCTGGGTGTCGCACGCCAGAGAAGCTTGGAAGCCTTCGATAGTTTCATCACCGTGTTTGTACGTACTTATGTTTGTATTCTCATATGTACATGTGACTGACCTCGTCACAGCGCATTGGCGATTAGGTAAGCATGTGTATGTATATTTGTATGAGAATGTGTTTGTGCTTGTATATGTATATGTATATGTGCATGTGTACATGTGCGTGTACTTGTACGTGTTATATTCGGTTTGAAGGGATCGGATTGATTGGATCGAATGGTCTGAGCTACCCTGATGGTTGGCACATCAGTACTTATGCCACGATCATGACATTCAAGGCGCAGAGAAAATGCTGCGCTGATACAACTGTCGATGCCTCATGAGTCTAGAATGTACACTGTGAGAAGCAGCCAGTGCTTGGCATCTGGTGCGAAGTTTTCCTGCAACTCCGCCTTAGCCCATCAACCCACTTGTACATAGGCTGCCTCCACAACGCCAGACGGCCCGAAACGATGGGGCTCGAACCTTTGTCTGATGCGACGTGCTGTCGAATTGTAAAATGCTTCCGTGAAAGAGTGACGTGCGTAAGAGAGCAAGACTCTGATCACTCATGGTGTGGTTAGTGTATCTACCTAGCCGTGAGGCTTGCATTGGCGTCTCGTCTAGCGGGGAGACAATGTTTGTAAGTCTCGGCGTGAGACGCACGGCATCGACTGGTAACAGGTACGTGTCCTGCACTTATCCAAACTCAGCTAAATCACGCATGCAGACACAGAACTGCCAGTGTGAGTTGCCTGTGTTGGAGGTTGCTGAGTCTTGCGAAGATAACCAGAGACTATATACGTTGCACAGCAGTTTTGAAAGCACAAGGAAGCAGCACCAGGATACAGCACGGACGGTGCAAGCGGCAAAAGCAAGACCTGTTTTGCGCCTACAGCGGTTCTTCACTGATATCTATTCCCCGGATCTGTCCTGCCAAGATTGTGGCCCAGGCCTCGCATGCGACAATCGTTTAAGCTTGTGTTTTTGAAGGGTTCTGTTTCGAGTGGGTTCAGCTTCGGGAAATGTGATCACAGAACTGGCAAGGGGTGCCTGTCGCAGTCTTTGCAGGGCCGGATTGCAGCCTGCTGACTAGCAGCACTGTGAGTACCAGCGGGTTATAGCAAGTCTTATCTGAAAAACCATAAGCCATGGTCTTGAGCGGCTGCTCATATTTTGGGAGCTGGCATGCAAGTGGGAGGTAGCATACTGCTTCGTCATAACAAGTATCGTACGTAGTGGCAGTAGTCATTGTTACGGGTACCGACGGGCTGTTCAGTGTTGATTACAAGACTATGAAGCCTCGTGGCAAAGATACTGGCATTTTTGAAGTTTTCTGCACAAAACTCCGCAAGCCGGATGCAACTTCTGCAGCGTCAACCCGGTGAAGCATGGCTCTGCTAGTTGTGCCATACGAGGGGTTCACGTTTCAGGTTTGGGCTGCATGGGTTAGGGTGAAACATCTAGAATTTAGGGAGCAAGATTGCAAGTTGAGAGGTTTGACTCTTGGTCTTCAGCTGGGGCTTGCCGGCAGCCGGTTGGAATCGACGGTTTGAATTCTGGGTCCACGTGAATGTGGTCTCCGATGCAGCATTTTGCTTCAGTACCATATAGGTTAGGACCCAGCCAGCCCATCTCCGACCTCGACCGTGCCTTGGCAGAACCGTCAAACTGACCCGAAGCATTCGGCCGCACAACTGGCTCAAATGCCTAAAAGTTTGTGGCATGAGTGAATATGTGCATGTATGTGAAATTTAAATTATGTTTATGTCTCTATGTGTTTGTCTGTATGATGGTTCTACACTGCATAAGGCCTATGATGCGTGTGCGTACATTACACAGATTATTTATTTATTTACGTATGTGTATGTGTATGTGTACGTGGATATGGATATGTATATGTAAATGTATATGTATATGTACATGTATGTGTATGTTCATGTGTGTGTAATGTGTATGTGTATATAAAAATATATAGGTATAGACGGCTAGACAGATAGATAGCTTTCGTCATGTCTTTCTTAATGCTGGTACGCCCTGGGGCTCAAATACTTGCAGGGTTACTGCCGATTGTTCGCCATCACGTTACTGCCCATGTCCACATCATGTGGACGTTTGCACAGCTCGGACTGTGTCCTGTTGTACTTAAGCCCAGCCTGAAGCTTTACCCGAAGCATGAACATCAGCGAGGACAACTGGGGCAGACGTCTAGGATAAGGATCATCGGTTTGAGAGTCGGAGTTGAACAGCAGAATGCCGCTGCCCCCCACCCCCCCAAAGCATGGTTACCCTGTCCATGTTTTAAACACAAAAAGCAAAAAATTCAGCCAGAATGGAAGCCTTCACACAGTGTTTAAGTCCCACGTTGCTTGCACCCGCCGCACATGTTGAAATACTTCGAATGCTGAACCGAAAGCCCCTCAACTCGGATCCATGACGCTTAAGCCCCGACCCAAGCTGAGTCCAACTACTGCGACAGAAACATTGTACGCAAACACATCTCTATACACAGACATGTTACATATGTGTATGTATATATGTATACATACACATTATGTATGTGTATATTTATATGTACATATCTTACTTTACATGTTATGCATATACATCTGCGCATCTAAAAGAATATACATAAAATGCAGAGTGCAAGTAAGGTATGACTTGGCCGTATGGAAGGTACAAAGCGGGCTCCCGGAGTTGAAGCGGGCCCCAGTGCTTGAGCAGCAGCAGATGGTCCAACGTTCCGACTGAAAAGAAATTCAGGCATAATGCCGTCCACTCGTCAGCGCAACACCGCCGTGGACTCGGCATGTTAGTCTAGTTGCGAAAGTCTCAGCTCGAGTCTAATCCATGAAGCTGATGATCTTGTGCAGAGATTGGCTTTTCGGAGAGTGTGCGCTAATTCGGGTGAAGGACATAGCTGTGGGCAATCTCTGGGTCCTGCTCTCTCTGTAGCTTGACTGTAAGAGTGAAGCCTTTGGAAGACAAGGGTGATCTTGCGGCCACGCCACGCACACAGAGACACGCACACGACAAGCCATGGGTTTGCAAATCCTGAGTTCGCCCGATAACAAGCGACACACCTGTACACGACCCTCAATTCTAGGACCTTGTATCAAAGTAGGAACTCTGCACACTTCAGCAACAGATCACATACCCACGGACATGAAGCCTCAAAGCAGCGATCCGAAGCCTTTGAGGTCCTGGCTGCCGCTGCTACTGCCTCGGCGGGCGCTTTGACCTTCGCCACTTGGGCAACGGTACAGCCAGCGTTCCGTACAATATAACATTGCCACATTGCCATGTCCTTTCGGCACTTTTCGTGTTGTCTGTTTGTTAATGTCTTTAATCGCAAGAGCTCGTACTCGACACCATTCTATTGATCTGGTTGTCTTGACTTCCTTATGTACCTGATTCTCAACTTGCTCGTGTATCGGTGCAAGCATGCGTGTCACTGGCGGCAAGTAGATATAGTGACACAAATTCACTCGCACGCACACACACACACACACGCATATCCTTAGCTGACACATGATGCATGCATGGATGATGGACGGACGGACGGATGGATGGAGAGATGGATGGTCCGAGGATTTCCTGTCACACTGCTGCCAAGGTTGCACCGCCAAGCACCCCAAGCGCGGCTCGCATTGAGCCAGGTGTGCCTGAAAACATGCTTTTCAAACCCTGATCCCCAATGCCTGCCATGATGATCGGATTCAGCCACGAGTAATGACGACTGAAGCTTTCGCCAACTTACTTAACCTGCCTGAGGCTCAAATCGTTCGGTTTGCTGGTTGGCACGAGTGGTTTGGAATCCTGCCTTCGGGTTATGGCAAGAGGTCAACCGCTGAGACAGTTTCAATGGGGCATTCACAATGAACAGACGAACTCCTGCCCCCCGCAGCTTCTGTTCCTGACCAGCAGCAGGCGTCGCTGCCGGGCATGCGACAGCCAGCCAGCCACAAACTTCCATGGGCGCCGCCACTGTGGGCGCCGCGATGCTCGCTGCGGGCTGCGCCACCCGAGTGACGGCGAAGGGCAAGGCACCTCTGCTCTTTCAGGAGTGCGGGCACTAGCGAGTTCGGGTTCAAGGCCCCGCAGGGTTCAGCATGTCTCAGTAGGCTTACGGTATGGCGTGGATGAAGCATGTTCTTTAAATCGATTCAGGCCTTCCCAACATGCGCTGCTAGTAGCAACGCTCCACGGTTGTTCTTCTGTTGTTATTACCTGGGCTTGGCATGTGCACGTCCGCTCCTTGAAGATACCCTGCACTGCCAACCGCAAAACTCTAAGCTTGCATGATGCCGGCTTGCCGAAGTATTGACAAGTCAAGCTTCAGCTAAAGGTCACGTAGCATAGGCCATAGGCCTGAGAAGTCCGCATCCCACAGGTTCACACGCCTCAAACCCAGTTCTGGGTCCACATTTTTGATACAATAACCCCAAAACCGATCGAACCATAGCTGGCTGCATACCCACACGTGGAGTCTCACTGCCCGCAGGGCCAGCGCAAAGCGGTGAAGTTGGCAGCTGTGAGCACTGACACGGAGGCAGCATCAACAGCGGACACGAATCCCCATTTCCGAGACTCACGAAGTTTAACCCCGAGGCTTTTCTCCGACTCATTTCCTCGACTGCGAAAGGGTTAGCGCAAGGTTGTCGTCTCAAGACAGTGTCGACAGTTCGTTTGGGTGCTTTGCGCTCATGCCGTCGTCGGTCAGAAGCTAGGAAGAACACAAAGAATGTAGTATGTAGAGCATATGCTCCAGCCTGACAGTACACGTGGACGCAGTGTAAACTTTTCTTCATGTTGGAGTATCGTTGGTTCACTGCTGAATGCTTTCGGATGCGGAAACAGGATGGTTGCTGCCCTATGTCGGCGCTGAAGTTGATGTCGGTATGAACAGCATTGTGGGTTCGGTTTACTTCATCGACTGACAGTTTGATTGTGCGGCACAGCAGGTCTCCAAGCCAGAATTCGTCGTCCGTTTACGATGCGCATGCTGGAATTTTCCTCGGCCGTCCAATTCTGCAGAAGGTGGAGACCGACTGCATCAACTCCATCCGGTTTCTGGCAGTAGATGCCGTGAACAAGGCACCTTCCGTGACACGTAGGTCGTGTCCTACTTGCATCAGAACGGTTCGGGTTCCTGGGTCGCCAAAAATTTGAGCGAATGTAGTTTGCATTAACTAAGCATATCCGCAGCCACGACAAGGATTGCCCGACGATCAAAGTGTTGAGTTCAACGACAGTTTCATTCATCAGCATGACCAATCTCATTATTCTGATTGCTAGTAACTGGTGGTGGCAGTAGTAGTAGTAGTAGTAGTAGTAGTAGTAGTAGTTGTTGTTGTTGTTGTTGTTGTTGTTGTTGTTGTTGTTGTTGTCGTTGTCGTGGTGGTGGTGACACTCTCCACAGCAGCGGCAGCAGCGGTCGTGGTGGTGGTCATGCTGGTGGTGGCGGTGGTGGTGGTGGGTGCAGGAGCAGTGGTAAGAGTAGGAGGAGGACAACGAGGAGGAGGCGGAGCAGGAGGAGGGGGGCCTACTTGTGCTAGTGCGGGTGCTAGTGCTAGTAGTCTTAGCAGCAGTAGCAGGCGTCGTCGTAGTAGTAGTAGTAGTAGTAGTAGTAGTAGTAGTAGTAGTAGTAGCAGTAGCAGTAGCAGTAGCAGTAGCCGTAGCGGTAGCGGTAGCGGTAGCGGTAGCGGTAGCGGTAGCGCTAGTAGTAGTAGCAGCAGTAACAGTAGCAGTGTAGTACGAGCAGCAGTGTAGCGGTTGCTGTTGCTGTTGCTGTTGTTGTTGTTGTTGTTGTAGGAGTAGCGGTATGGGAAGGGGTGGAAGGAAGGAATCGTGCTGGTCGTGTAGGTGCAAGTGCAGTTCTTGTGGTGCTTCGTCGTCGTACGAGTATGACTTATGACCGCAGTATCGCCAGGCCAACTCTGGCCATCCTGGCGCGCCCATGGGCCAGGCTCCCATCGGCAGCTCGGCTTTTGATGATTTACGTGTTTGGCTTTTGGTCCGGGAGAGAGGCGAGGGTGAGACTTCTTGCAATGATTGCTTAAGGCACGGCAGCATGACTTCGAGAATCACAATGCATTGCATTTCTTACTCGGCTCGTACTGTTGTTTGTCCCATGATTCCATTGCCAGCCGCACCATGCCAGCAGCCGCAGTGGCATGTTTTTGCACCGGTGCCAGCTTGACGAAGTATGCTGCGACCTGTTTGATGTTGCTGCTCTTCCGAGCAGTGAGTAGCCCGCGTACAGCCTGAGTGCTGCAGCTCAGGATACTTGCTTTTCGCAGAGGAGATGGCCTACAACCCCAAGGTCAGCTTGGAGACCCCGGTTGGCTTTGGACTTGATTGGGATACAGTGTTCCGAGACTTCGAAACTCCCGCATGTGACTAGGCGATGGCGGTGAGACTCAAGATGCGTTCTACTGACTCAATCATAGTCTCCGATCCGAACAGACCCAACCCTTCGTCTTGAGCCCCAAGCCTACGAGCAGAAGGCATCAAATCCAAGACGTGCCCACTGCTCTCCACAAGTCCACGGTTATTGAGAAGACCCAACCCCAAACTCTCGATTCAGGTATCTTCGAATTCCCCATGCAGATTGCAACCGGAGAAATCCTTTTACAACAATTGGTTCCGACCCAGCTCTTTTCCGCTTCTCATGTTAGGATCCGACCTGGGTCAACCGTGACCGCTTCGTGCTTTCGTCCGGCCATGGCTGCATGCTGCAGTACCTTGGCTCTGACAATTCCAAATCAATTCCAGTTCTGCAGGGAATCGAAAATAGTTCGGTGTTACCACCAAGTCTTCAGAGTGAAGGCCAAGACACAGACAACGAATTGGCAATAGTGCGCTCGAAGACTCTAGGAAGAAAGAAAGCCGCTTCTGAAATTTAAGTTGGTGTTGTACGACGGCAGAGCGCGCCGCCCCGCAAACTAGAGCTTTCGTATGCACAAGCGAAGATTTCATGAATACACACTGCCGCGCAAACCCGTCCCTCTTAAAGCCGGACATTTAAAAGATTTTCACGCAACGCGATCATTGACACCAATGCTCAGTCTCGGCTTCAGACCTGCAAGTCTGAGAACGTGCATGCCTCGATGAGGTACTCCCTGCTGCACCTTGCCGGCTACGATAGCGTGGCCATGGATGACCTGAAGCAGTTCAGGCTCCTGCTCAGCTAAAGCGATTGTGTCTCGCACTCTGGGATGAGACGGGGTTGCCACTGGGATCTGTAACACCGAAAGAACGGAAACCTTACTACAGATTGTTGTGTCAGCGTAAACGGCTGATTTTCTGAATAGCTCCCCACACTCAACCTCAAATTGGGCTTCCGAATGTTTTACTATGGTTTTCTCCTGCGTCGATACATGTGAGGGTCGAGGCCACATGCACTCTGTAACTAGTTTCCCTGAGTCCAACTTGACCTGAACTCTGAAGCTCCTTCTCTGAAGCCAGAACCCTCAATCTGCAACCGTGCCAGCTTCGGGGGTGAGGAGTTGTGTTTTGTGGCCCGGAATCCAATGATCCAAGCGCCCCCAGCCAGGCAGTGGGGTTCCAAGACACCTGGCCATCCAGAGAATTTCGAGACTCAGGCTGTCGTTTATGTTTAGGTCATTGTCCTCCGCGACCGGAAGACAATGTAGCGGCAGAGAGCGCAAACAACGATCATTTTACGGAGTCTTTGTGTAGGCAAAACTGTGAGAAGTCCCCAGATCTGTTTTGCAGGGTTTTGCAGGTCGAGACCTCGGGCAATGCAAGCTGAGGCCTGAAAAAGAGGTCTCTGAGGTCCCAACCATCCCTGCCGAAAGCCAAGCTGCGTAGAACCCTGGTGCCCAGACACATGAAGCCACGAGCCTTCGGTCGACAATCGGATCAATAAGGAGACGGCCGGAATCGAGGTCACCACTGGACCTCTTGGCAGCTCGACGCATCAGATCTTTGAGCAAAGGCATGGGTTTGGGTCTTCTGGGCGTATCGGCCAGAAGCTGACAACGGTCCGAACTGTCTAAAACCTGAACCTCGAAGGTGCCGCGGATTGTCCCAAACCTACATGCAATTTTGGCCAGCAAACTTGGCGCCATGCAGTTGGCTGACCTTCCCCGCCCGCTGTAAATGCACGTTTAAAGGACCGCTGCCAAACAATTGCCGACCACAACCGACAGACATCTTAGGGCTCCAGGGCCCAAGTTCACCCCCTCCGAGCCACGAGGCATGGGAATCTCCAATGCCGTTGGCTTGGCAGCGGCCGAGGCACACATGGCAGCAACCTACAACAAGCCTCGCGGCTGTGATTTGAAGAGTGCAGGTTACAGGGCTCGACGTAGGCAAAGGGCTCGGCATGTTTTGGAGCCCTCCGAACCGTTTTTGTTTATGGCTTCGATTTTCGAATGACTTGGTGTGCCCCATGGCCCTCAAGCTACACAGCTTCGTCACCTCATGTTTTTTTCAACTACACTGGGAAAGCCATGTGTTGCGATCTAGCTCAGGCCGGATTTCACGCTGATCGACCACTACACTTACACCATTGCAGGAGATGGCTGCATGCAGGAGAGATGTGGAAATCCGTTTCATCCGCCGAGTAGACACTGCTTGGATCCTCTTACACGGCTTGACCGGGATCTTGTGTTGGTTGCAGTGAAGGCATCTGGCTATAGTCCATTTAATCACTGAAGGGGGCGGGCCGGTGCCAGTTTGCACATTGAGCCTGTTGCACATAAGGGACAACTGGTTCTTGGAAAGAGAAGTTGTAGGCTTGATGTCGAATATGCCAGACGACTGATTCTGAGCTTCGAGACTTCACTGGGAACATAGGACCTCCCTCAGGGTGAGCTTGCTGCCTCGTCCACCCTTCCCATGTTGCGCAGGAGGGTATCTCGCACGAGGCCTGCGCATATGCCGGCCACCTGGGGCTTGGAAAGCTCATCGCCTTCTACGTTCCTCGGTGTGAAAAGCTTGGAGTTCTTCGTACTTTAATCGCGTTGAAGCACCAGATCTGCACCTGGGTGTTCGTCAAATTTTCTGCAGGTGAAGAATCAGTCGTAGCAAGGGCAGCGGCACTTGTACGTAGTAGCTGCCGCAGCAACTGTAGCAGTAGCATAGCAGTAGGAGTAGCTGTAGGACCAGCAGTAGGAGCAGCAGGAGGAGTGGCAGCAGGAGTAGTAGTAGGAGTAGCAGTAGGAGCAGCAGGAGGAGTGGCAGTAGGAGTAGTAGTAGGAGTAGCAGGAGGAGTAACAGCAGGAGGAGCAGTAGGAGCAGGAGTAGCAGTAGCGGTAGCAGTAGGAGTAGGAGTAGTAGTAGTCGTCGTCGCAGTAGTAGTAACAGTAACACTAACAGCAACAGCCACAGCCACAGCGACAGTGACAGTGACAGTAACAGTAACAGTAACAGTAGCTGCAGTAGAAGAAGTAGTAGTAGTAGTAGTAGTAGTAGCAGCAGCAGCAGTAGGAGTAGGAGTAGTAGGAGTGGAGTAGGTGTAGTAGTAGTAGTAGTAGTAGTAGTACTAGTACTAGTACTAGTACTAGTACTAGTACTAGTACTAGTACTAGTACTAGTACTAGTACTAGTAGTAGCAGTAGAAGTAGTAGTTTTACATGTCGCGTAGATAAGGCCAATCATATCAAAACATGATGCTAGTCATCCATTCAGCACCATCCTCATCCGCATCATCGTCATGACTGTTACCATTATCATCGTTGCCATGATATTTGTGGATATGCCAGGATGACAACGGCATCACCATCGATGGGCACACGGATCTTTCCTTCACGGAGGAGCGATCATCCCATAGCAGGAGGTTCGTGATTCTTCTAGAGTCGTGCTGGAGATGAGTAGGCTGCGGTCCTCGCAGCGTTTGATCCGAAGCTTTTGCATGTTGGAGTTTGTTTCGAGGCGTTGAGAGGTCCCCGATTGGTTGGTTCCCTATGCGGCCAGGGCTCCGGACCGAAGTCTTTCTCGAGATACGCAGACAACGCTCAAGTAGCTCCAGCTCGAAGAGTCAAGAACACATAGTCCTCAAGTCAAGCCCCAGCCCCCAGGCAAATCCTGGATGCTGAAAGCCTCACGGAGTCTTTGGGAAAGGAAGTTGGTGCTAGAGAAGATGCATAAGGCTCCTCGCCCCAGCAAGTGGAGCTTCTATGGGCAATTCCTATGTCCTGGATCCTTGCACTCGATTCGTGTCGTCGAGCATCTGCATCATCCCCTGAAGGCCGACACCGCTAAAATCCTGAACCTTTGTGGAACACCTCCCAACCCAGAATCGTACCCGGAAACAAGGCTCTGAGTATTTTCCTTTGCGTGCTCGCAAGAGGATGTCGGCAAGCGCTTCGAGGCCTCATACTTCCTTCAAAAGCTCACACAGCGGCGGGCCACAAGCCCCACATGGAAGGTTGTAGGGTTGTCTCTTCAGTGGTAGGCTCCCGTGACTCTAGTTCGCCTGAAGATCCGTTACCCAATATCACACTCTCATTTCAGTCGGAATGAGGCACAGCATGTTTCCTTACACAAGGGGCTCGAGGAGGTTTCTTGGCATCTGGCCGAGGTCTTTCTAGATAGCATCTAGCAGCAGGGAGTTGGGACCTTTGGAAAGTGCACCTGGACTTTCGAGCGTGATCCATGTGCGGGACGCCCTGAAGCAGACCCCTGACCTTGGATATCTGGATGGACTGCATCTATTTTGGCCCGTTTTTGAATAAGAGCGACTCCACCTCCCTTGTGCACAGGCCTACGGCTGGCAGGTGCTTGTCGTGGACAACGGCGACCAGGCACCAGAGGGGGTGCTGCATCAGGGGAGTATGATTTCTTCAGCTTCTGGTCGCACGACCTGCCGAAGCACTACAGCTGCAACTGAAACTCAAGTGAAAGCCTTGCAGCTCAGGTTTTTGAGTCTGCAGATCTTTCTTCATCTTTCTTCCGAGGGAAAACGTCAAGGGACGGTTCTTTGTGATCCCGGCACGGTTTAGCTTTCGGGTGCGATAGTCAGCTGCTTCTGAACATGTGAATCTAAGAGGGAAGGAATCCTTGAGAATGGGAAAAACCGACATGTGTAAACCCTTCTGTAGGGACCGTAAAAAAGACCGAATCTGTCAGGACGTGGGCGCCATCCGCAAGGCCATTGCCGAGGCGAAAGCTTGCACGGTGACTCGGCAGTTTCGAGTTTCGGCTTCAGGGGCTTCGTATGGTTGGGAGCATGCTAGGGGTTAGGAAGATCAGACACAGTGTTACAGTTTACAGGAATTTTCAGACCGGAAGATGATCATGTCATCCTTCGGCCCGCAAGCTAACCTGAGGACAATCCTAGCGGTCCTAGCAGCAACTCGTCTTCAACCTACGTTCCAACTACTTGTCAGGTCACTGCATGTTTCCGGGCATCGGAGGATGAAAGCATGAGTAGCTCTAAATCCCGAAGGCTGGAAACTCAAACATCTGAAAGTTCGACTATACTGGGCCCCAGATCTTGCAAGTTGCAGACCTCGTGCTTTTCAACCAGTAGACGTGGCCGCCCCATTAGGTTTTATTAGGTTTAGTGTGACGTTGAGCGCGGCTACGGAGAGCCAGGATTTAGGACGCATTGCGCTCGATTTTTTAAGGGGCTGAAAGCTTATTGCATTCGAGGGTTTACATTCATGCTCCTCCACCACCGCATGGCTGCCAAGGACAAGCCCACCTTGATCAAGGCTGGCAGTAGCTTCGGGCTTCTTCATTCTGCTCGGGTCGAGTCCAACGGACTTAGAAGCCCCAAGACACTTGGAAATTGCGGCAGGCGGATCGGCGATTCCAATGGGCATCTGCAAGTTGCTTCAAACCACCACAACGTTGAAGCAAGGTCCTTACTTCAGACACGAAGCCGCCAGGTGAAGACTACCATCGGTTTCGGCTCGCCGAACAAGGCTTGCCCTGTGTGCCTATGCTTTGTGAAGAATCCCGAAGCTTCACGGGTAGAGAGTTTGGGGGCTCAAGTTAGTTAAGGTGCCATGTGCCCCCAGCAAAGTTGCCTGGATCCTTTGGCAGCTAGCACCCAGTTTTCGAAGATTTGCATCGTCGTACAAGCCCTGTGATGTTTGCAGATCAAATCAAGCGTTCGTGACAAGGAAGCATTCGTAGCTCTGCCTGCCATGTCAGGCCGACAGCCACGATGCACATGGCGCCCCCCTTGGAGCGGATGAGGCTGAGGCAACACGCAAGCAGCCAGGCTGCCATTCGTCCGGTCGTGGCCCAGAGGCTATGGTTCAACACAGTTTCGGTTCAGGAGATGACACAATCATAATGCAATCTGTAGCAGCTACGGGTCATATCGGAGAGATGCCGAGAAAAGTGTTCGAGGTACAGAGCCTTCTGGAGGTCTTTGCAACTGACTTTTCTTTCAACACAAGCTTGTGGTTTAAGCAGGTGTGAGGTTAGGAACAGCTGAGCGACAAAAAAGACATGAGCGAGGCAGCATGAAGTGCCCAACCCCGATGCCGTAACTAGTGGTTCCAATCGTGTTGCAGAGATGCCAAGCCAGAAACACTGGGAAGAGAACGCCCCACAAGCTTCCGCCCGTGTTTAATTTGAATATCCCTCCGGCGAAACTCGCAGTGATGATTAAGAACTCAAGAGCTTGAACCCTGTGTTTGTTACTTTGTCCTTAGAACTTCGGTACGCTGCTGCACACGGACGCATGTTCGGAATAAGTGTCGCCACGAAAGGACATTGAACTCAACATTTGTCCGCGAGATTGACAATGTTATCATCTCAAACGTGAGGACTTTCCTGACCTGCTCCGTTTGCAAACATGGTACCCCGCAACACCAGAGTCACAGCAACAGTAGAACGCAGCCCAACAACATGTCTTCCGACCAAACTAAAGAAGATCGCTTCTTGGAGTTCACTCGAAGCTTTCGAGACCTGCCAGAGCCCAGGCAGCTGGGCTGGAGCTATGGTGAGTTCGAGGCAGAGCCCTGGCGTTCCCTAAACTCTCTTAAACTCTCTAGGCCCGAAGCTCACATGTGCCCGCGTAGATCCCCACCCAAACAGTGCAGGAGCACTGTGACGACAGCGCCCGCTAGGACCACCAGGTTTACGACGACGACCACTGCGACCGGGACGACCGCAACAGCCACGAGACCACAAGGAGAGCACCAAGAAACCACCACAAGACGGCCAAGCTGCTTCCCCAAGTATTGGTGCGATTGAGGATGGCGGCCAAAATGCATTCCCCCAAATACTGGCGCAATTCCAAGTTGTCCATGCCACCCCATGCGTTTTACTTTACAATGCATCTGTCGCTCCGGGAAACGTGGCCGCACCGATCCTGTGTAAACAATGCAACGCGAGCGCAAGATGTGCCCTGCGCGGCGTTGCTCACAAGTTCTCTTTACTCTGAACGTTAGAACCACGTCGTGTGCACGTCGCTGTTCGGGGAAAAGCCCCCAAAAAGGTGCCGGAGCACGTCTATGCCGCTTTCAAGAAGCAGGCAGATGCTGGCGTCGAGAAGCTCCCCGCATGCTTCTAAAATCGATATGGGCTCAGGGACTAGAAACTGAAGTTGAAGCTTTCAATTCGCACGTGACAATTCAGGATACTGGGTGGAGGGTTCGCGGAAGTTGACGATGAGGCAACGAAAGGTCTGACGTTGACACGGTTTCTCAACTAGCTTAGCCTATTGTAATCTCATGGGCTGTGACTTTGTTCAAATTCAAAGTAGACGGCACATGCCGACAAGTCCAAGGAGAACCTCCCCGCAGGCTCTACTCTTCTTGAAGCAGACCTCGGGCCACTGTGGAGTAAAGCCTGCTAATTCTTCTCCGAAGCCTTCAACCCAGAATCCTAAGCCTCTCCACCCGAGGGTGTCAAGCTCCAAAACCTGAAGGTCCGAAAAGAGTTGTGGTAAATTAGAGCTGAGGCAAGGCGAGTGGGACAAGCTCTTCGCGGCCTACAAGGTCCTTTTCTGTCGAGGGTGGGTGAGGGTGCTTCTGTACTCCAGGATTCAGATTTGAAGCTTCAGAGTTCATCCCTGGCGTTACCGCCACAGGCCCTCGTACGGTCATTTGCGAGACCGTGACTTCTCATGTTGTAAATGTTGCAAAGCTGTCCGAATCTACCGCATTTTGGGGGGATCCAGGCATGCAGGGAAGAGATCTTGCACCCATGCCCAACAAGTAGAAAGAACAAAAAATAATACGTCGAATAGCCAACTGGGGGCGATCGCAGGAGAAGGAGCCCGAGCTTGCGGCACAGTTCGAGCGTGCAGCGCCGTGCTGAGCTCTTTCCAACTCAATCCAACTCACGGCATGAGTTGAGTCTTCGGACATGTTCAGACTCTTCAAATTTCTAGAACTTTAGGTTTCAAGTTTCGGGTCAGTCTTTTGGCAGCTTCCGTATGGCACCTCGAGAGGAATCTTACACCGATTTTGTAGGTTTGCAGGAGGTTGCTCCTCGGGCGTTTGGTGACATTCTCCATCCAGATTCCTGAAACCGGCTCCTCCCGGTTGTCCAGTGAGCAGCTTATCACGGAGCTGGTTGTGCAGCGTGGTTTTTTGCGACTGCAACAGCATCACATCTCGGGAGCAGGCAATATGCGCAGGCAATCCGAACCCGCGTGTAAGGCCATCAGGGAACCTTGAAACCGGAAACGAACCAAAATCCCAGCATCCCCACACCTGAACCTGGCTTCCTCAAGGTGCTGAACAAGAAACTGCCCGACAACTGGGAGGAGCCTGCGCTAGGGCTTCGGAAGGTTTTTCAAAGGGAGACTTGATAGCCCTCGAAATTGTAGGTTTTTAGAACTTTGGCTTGCCGTTGAGATGCCTAGAGGCCTGGCCTCTGCACAGGAGCAAGTGGTTCAGCTTTGGGATTTACTGCCCTAGGTTTCAGAGGGCTCGAACTCAGGCTTTGAGATTTGGGTCTGGCACAACGTGAGACAATGCGGTTGCTGGTTTAGGAGAACACAGGACCCATCCGTTCAGAGATTGGCACCGGGACTGTTGGTTTGGAGGCTCTACAGTCTTTAGGGTTTGTACTGGCATTAGTTTATTTAACAGCACACGCCAGCGCCTGCGGATTGCTATGAGTGCTGAGGTGTGGAGTGTAGACGACGTTGAGTCTTGCTATGTCGCGACAAGGGTTGCTGGCTCCGCTATGCGGAGCAGTGCTAAGCTTTGTGATCTGAAAGATTTTTGCCTCCTCTCCTGCCCATAATCCGGAAACGATCCGTGCGGCTGAGCTGATCAGGGCAGGGTGTGGGATTTGTACTATTCGGGCTTGCGGTTTGGAGTCACGGCTGTGGAGTTTGTGAAGGTTTGGGTTCAATTGTTGGAGATGCAGACTTTGCATATATGCTCTGGGTTTTTTTACGATGGACCAGATATGTGTGTCAAGCTGTCCAGTTGCATATATTCTTTGTAGTTATACTAGATTCAGTCGCAGAACAATTTCAAGAAGAATGATTGTCCTGGAATCGAAATGAGCACACCTTGACACCGGGCTTAAACTGCATTTTCATGTCAAGGCTTTTGGTGCCGAGCATACCAGACGCGGCATCTTGTCGCGAGGTTCTCTAGGACCTTAGACGTTGAATCAAATCTCCACAGAAATCGAAACCGCTAACCTCGAGGTCATAAACTTCTCGAGACTCGTGCATGCACTATAAAGTAGGCATGCAATTCATGGACACTTAAAGTCCCGAACACCATGAGTCCGACGTCCCAGCCGCCAAGTCCTCCAACATCCTGACCTCTCGAATCCCCGTTTCCACCTGATAAAGGAGTGCTTGCCCAAGCTGACACCAGAGGACAATGGCAAGGCTCCGCAGTGAAACTTGTGCTTTTAGCACTTACGGCTGTGGGGGGAACGAATCAATCTTGTCTTGCCACGCTGAAGGGCATGGGTGACTGAAGAGGTCAGCCTTCAAGCCTGCACCGAGTAATACTAGTTTGGGAGCAGCTACTTCGGAGACCAAGCGCTGCACGTACAGAAATCGTTTAGTAGCATGTGGGAGTGGGCTGCACCTTCGAGTAAGTCCCTGCCCCCAATCTTCACAATTCTTCGGGAGGCCACGCGCCTTCACTCGCAGGACTGTTGTCCCCGTGGGCGAGTTAGAGATCTTGTTCAGGCTTAGCGCATACGCTTCCGAAGTAGTCTCGGCTACATCTTTGGCGGTCATATTCGTAGGTCCCGGGGGGCACAAGAGCAGAGGGCGATAAGTTGATCTTTGAGCATCGGGGATCTCCTTCCGGACGGGAGCTGTCTCTCCTTTTGAAGAAGTGTGAGCCAAGGCCAGACATTTTAAGCGCTAAACGGTGAGAACTTTGGACCTTGACGATGAGAAGAAACTAATTCTCGCGAATCCACGTTTGTTCCCCTCTTATTCTTGCTAGTAGTATTGCTGGTACTACTAGCAGTACGAGTGCTACTAGTGTTCGTAGCAGTAGCAGCAGTAGCAGTCGTCGTCGTTGTCGTCGTAGCCGTAGTAGCAGTAGTAGCAGTAGTAGCAGTAGTAGCAGTAGTAGCAGTAGTAGCAGTAGTAGCAGTAGTAGCAGTAGTAGCAGCAGTAGCAGCAGTAGCAGCAGTAGCAGCAGTAGCAGCAGTAGCAGCAGTAGCAGCAGCAGCAGCAGCAGCAGCAGGAGTAGTAGTAGTAGTAGTAGTAGTAGTAGTAGTAGTAGTAGTAGTAGTAGTAGTAGTAGTACGAGCACTAGCACCACTACTACTACTACTACTACTACTACTACTACTACTACTACTACTACTACTACTACTACTACTACTACCAATACTACCGTTACTACTTCTTCTATTACCATTAATTCACACTATTACTACTGCTGACGACGACAGTGACCGCTGCTGCTGCACTGCTGCCATTGCCACCAGTGATGTCAATAAGACGAACGCCAAGGTTAGCCAGAGCATCAGAAATAGCAGTACGAACATCGTGACAAAACAGAAACGAAAAGCGGACGGAAGCTCAAATTCGTAAGTTCAGACACATACACGCTGGATTTGAGTGGTCATAGTATTACATGCAGTAAGAGGAATTGGCATGCCAGAACCGGCACTATCAGAAGAAGCATCATCAAATGTTGTCGTCATCGTCATGAAATCACCGTGCGCGATGCAAACTGGATGCACCTGAAGGACTGCCTCAACGCCATCGCCCCGGTCTTGCCTGAGTTCATGGGCGGTTCTGCCGACCTGGCACCCTCCAACATGACCCTGATGATGCTCGGACGATGGATTAAGGCTCTGTGTCGTGTTTCTGGCTCTTGCGCTCTGGCTTCATCGGCTCGATCTGCTCGCTTGCTTTTCTTCGTTTGGCTGGCCATTACAACGAGCACCCGCAGCCAAGTCCTAGTGTCGTCGTTGGCATTCGTGGTGAAGATACAGTGGTTTGGCAATGGTTTGGGGTCTTCAGGTTGGGACATTCAGAGTGTAGGGACTCCGGCAGGTGCTGTCTGGACAGTTTTGCGGAAAGGACTTGACGGATATAGACGAACGGGTATCAGACTCGATTGGTGCTCAAGGTTTGCGGTTAGGACTCGAATAAAAGTAGAAAAGTGGTTTGTTGCGGCTTTCAGCCCGAGGAAGTGCACTGGCGACTTCTTGAAGGACAGCTACTCGGAGAGGCTCGCTGAGATGTCCTTCGTCGATCATAGAAATTGACGAACGGGAACGCCTGGGTCATTCGATGTTCGTGAGGGTCAGAGAGATTTATGTGCATATCTACTTGCCACTTGATCCGTAGCTGGAGGTGCTTGGGTTTTTGCGGGATCTCCTTTGCTGCGAGAACCTACAAACATGTGTTGGGAAGTACCTGCCAGTATTGTTTTATCTGAAATAGCCTTTCCTCCTGGGTAGCTCGAAGGAAAGCGGCAAACTAGATCCCTCCACCTCAAGTGCTAGACCGTGCAGCCTCAAACTCCATGAACCCAACTCCCTGACACCATCAAACCTGAAACCGCTGAGCAGCCGCGTGGCAGGAACTTCCGCTTCGGCATCCGAGAATTCGGCATGGGAGCCGTATGCAACGCCTTGTCGCTGGACAAGACAGGCCTTTAACCAATCGGCTGCAAGTTCTTGACTGGGATTTTTGTGTCGTTTCATCCCTCAACGTTCTCTGGTACGACCGATTGGTAGATGCTTGCGATCGGCCATGTTGGAGAATGGCCACAAGTGTTGCAACAGTAGAGTAAAAAAGTATGAGCACCGAGCTACTGCATGTTACTCTGCAGGACTGGGGAGTTAATAAATTGATGCTGCTTGGAATCCACAGGTCGCCGGGAGCACTGCTTGTGCTCCAGAATGTGCAGGGTTTGACGAGGAGTAGGACGTAAACCAACAGTCCGGCCTTGTCACCATTCAAGAGGCGAGGGGGCATCAAGCTTCCGGTTGACATGCGGAGTGTGGGCATCCAACCCTTCAACAAGATTTTTGGATATGAAGATGGGCCTGCTTACGAGCTTCAAACCAAGCAATGCAGATGCTAATCGTCGTTTTCTTCGTTTTGTCATCTGAACTGCGAACGTGTCGGGAGTTGTTTTCTCTTTTGACTTCCCATACTGCTTGTCGCCTCAAGATGTTTCCGATTGGATTGCCACATTCGGGCGCTTCGGCCTGCAGGGTGGCAGGATTCAGCCAGGGTTTGGGGGTTGGAACCCCGTTGCTGCACCGAATGGGTTTCAGTCCGCGCAGGCATCATCCCTTACTGCGCTACCTTCACCATTTTCACTGACTATATGCGCTCTGCCATCCGTCACCTGGTCTGAAAAGACGGGTGCAAGGCAAGATGACATGGTTTAGAGGCAGGAGGTGTCACGAACATGCGGCGACAAGAAGCTGTCAAGACTGTGCTCACGGCCGCAAGCCATGATCCCCATGTGATTGTGACTTGCTTCGTGTGATGAAACAGAAGACAATATCTCTACTGGACACATGGTGCAGATTATGTCATGAGGTGCCAGTGTGTAAGAGTGAGTATCGCTAGGCCCCTAGGCATGGATAGATCAAAAGATTCAGGAATCGCTGCCTTGTCGCAAGCTGGCACAATCTTCGTGACGACACACGACTCCATCGCCGTAGGCCTCCTGGACCATGTATGGGACTCACGCAGCTGCAGTGTCATTCACGAGCAGCTTTCACAGATCAGCTTCAGTTGTCTGGAGTTGGGTGATTGGGATACAGGTTTCGGATTTGGGATTTACGGTCCGCAAGTCGTTGTCTTTTACTTTCGAGAGATGCGGTCTTGGCATGGAGGGCTATTGTGTTGCAGTGCTGTACGCCTGAAAAACAAACCGACAAGAAAGTCGCAACTGGTGACTGGCCGGCTTCTCGGACTTGGACGTTCGGCTACAGGCTTAAGCTTCATCTCCCAGTCAACCTTCCGTGAGCTTTCTGTTGCACATCACTGTTCAGTCCTAGCTCCTTCGTCATCCTTCAGTCCTTGAAGCAATATTGGTAGTTCTCTGTTCCTTCACTGGAAGAAACAGGGTCTCTGTCTCAGGCTCGGCCATCCCCCCACTCCCCCCCCACCAACGGTTGGTACCCCCCCCTGTGGTGTGGTGTGGTTTGCGGTTTGGGTCTTCCTGAGATGTTTGGCATCATCATCATCATCATCCGTGGTTCGGGGTTCGGGTCTGCTTGGGGTGCCTCCCTTCCCCCGCAGTGGTGTGGTGTGGTTCGAATTTGGATCTGCTTGGCGGGGTTGGCATCATCATCATCATCATCATTACCATCCTCCTCCTCATCCTGTTCTGTTCTTGGGTCAACTGCCACATGAACCGGCCTGTCAGGAACGCGATCCTCGTGACAGTTGCCTTCTCAATACCCTCATGTCGGAGTCGTGGAAGGAAAGTGCCCACTGTCACAAGGAACAGTCAGCGAATCCAGAAACCGCGTTCATATATGAAGAGTCGGATCTCGCTTTTGAAATGTGTGTTGAACCTTTTTGGATGACTCTGATCATCAGATCCCCAACCCGTCCCTTCAAGGAAATCCCAAAGTCCTCAGCCTTGGTCCATTCGTAGTGCAAAGCTGTGCCAGGCGAGGATGGACCCACCCACCAGCCCATCGAGACTATCCCCTCTCTGCACCGGCCCTGGTGCTACCGGTGAGCTGACAGGGTCAGAGGACTATATAGGGTTCCTCACTCACCGCTTATTCGGGAAAGCCGGCCCCTCAATTCTACAAGTCTGTAGTCCAGTTGGATTCCAAGAGAAAAATCACGGACCCGCCGGGCGACTTCAGTAAAGTCTCAAGGATTGATAAAGCGCTTATGACAGGAGGCCAGGTGCTCAATGGAAAATAATGATGAAGATCATCATCATCATCATCATCATCATTTGATGTAGCCGTGACAATGTTTGAGAGGCCCAAATCACGAGGATGACGGCAATGATCGTGATGGCGAGGACAACACAGGTGATGCGATGCGTGTCACTTCTTCGACATCGTCGTGTCCTGATGCCCTGCCAGTACGCTCTTGTCAAGCATGCTTACAGTGATGTTGCTGTCGAGGGATGTCGTGGATTCAGAATTGAGGAGTTGAATCTTGAAGACTTCAAGGTCAGAACCTTGCGGTCTTTGCAGCAGATCGTCGCTTTTCGCTGTTTGTGAATGTCCCGGCTGCTGATGCTGGAGGGTCGCATCCTAAAAGGCAGGCAGCTGCACTATTGCACAATTGGTTCAGGCAGCATCGTTGAGAATGGATTTCGGAGCTGAGGCTTCAGATTACGATTGAGGCATTCGAGCTCCTTTCAGGGTGTGGACCCCGCCCAGAACCCGAACTACATCTCACATGTCATTCTGCTGAAGGCGCCTCATTCCCGACCTCACGGCCCGACTCTCAACTGCCGGATGGTTACAAAACCCAAGGCCAGACAGGCTTAACCCTACCCGAAATCTGCCACATGATTTCTGAATTTTGGGGAGGAGTCGAGAGCTGCATGCAGGGCGTGACAGCAGGGAGTTGGACTTAAGGTCACTGGACTCGGCTCGTAAAGTCGTAAAATGTCAATGTTAGACCACGTTTCCAAGAGTGCTCAACATGAATGTACGTGCGCAACCATGTGGTGACTGCTGCCGGCAAGCATGCGCCACTTGAACACCCTCTGTAATCACACGACCCTGCGCCAGCTTGCCCGTGGCAGTCGAATAAACGACATGCCCACGCGTTGGCTTGCTAGTCAGGGCATGCTTTCCTTTCAGTAAGTTTTAGAGCAGCAAATGCCTGCTGTCTGGGCTTCTACTTCCAATGACGGGTTGCTGGACGGGCTCCGTCGCAATTCTGGGTGCAAACTTTTGTCTGACGAGCCCGCATTACGCAAAATAAATCAACTGGGGTTGGACATTTGACTACGTCCACTGCTGACAGAGCTGGGTCAAATCCATCGTGCCCCAGGACTGTTAAGCTTCTACGGAGTTTCGGGTGTGCTGGTATCACATGAATTGATTCTGGGTGTGGGCCCCCCACTCATAAGCGCAGATTCCGAGACAAGACCAGCAGACTGGTGCCACGAGGTCATGAGGCCGGCGGACGGCAACGAGACGGCAGGCGCCTACAAGTGGGGGCCCCAGCCGAAGCCACTTGCTGCTTATAAGATAATGACCCCTCTGCTCCTTAAAAAGTACCCGGGTCAACACTCATGTAGCTCGTTTGGCGATTAGCCAGACGCGGCGGATCGTCGACGAGAGCAGCGAAGTTTGGGCAGTTTCGGAAACATGATGTAAGCCGAAACGTTGCAATTGCGAGGTATGCTGTGGAGCGCTCCAAGTATGAATCTCGGCCCACCATGATGGCCTTCTCCCGACAGGCGGGGGTTTGCTGCTCGACAGTCTGCAGTGCAGAACGGGGTAACGTTCGACGGATGCAGTCGCATCTTGCCATGTACAATGCAGTGACATGTTTGTGCAAAGAGAGCTGTGTGGCTTGTTCGTCAGCGGAGGGTTGAACGGTATAATTTCTTGAACAGGATTCGCAGAAGAGTAGACCCCGCAAGCTGAGAAAGTGGGTCTACATGAGGGCACCGGGGCGCATGAACTTGACCCTCCGGCGAGCGACAGATCCTGGAAGTTTCTCGCACCCGGAATGTCATGAATGTGCTGGGCTCCCCCTAAGCCCAGACTGCCCAAATTGTCGATGCCCTAGAAACAGAAAGATAAGTCCTCCGCAAATGTTCATGCAGAACAACAAATCACCTGACTTATGAAAGCGACCAGGCGCTGCCCAACCTTCCGAATTCCTCCATCGAGAACACCATGAAGGGTTGAGGGCTCAGTCTTAGTTGTACTTGGGGCATATATAGATGTCGCTTCTCACAGTGACGTAGCCAGGATTTGCGGAATCAATGCTTGTATATTTGTGCATATTTCGCCTCTCTTTGTCCCAAACACTAACCAGCGGGTTCAGATGACTGGTCAGACGTCGTGGCTCCGTAAACATCTGATGTAATTCTCGGACCGAGATGCACGGCTGAAGAACAGACCGCTGTTGATCATCATCCTTGCGTGATCTTAGGCCTGGCGACGACGACTGTTCATAAGTCTGAGCGCTTTCGCCACAGGTCTCAACACAACTGTATGCAAAGGTAGGTTTGGGCTGAGGGCTCTGCTGGTGCAGGACTTACGGTTTCCTGAAATTGTAGCAGACAGCAGAAACTGTCTCTTTCGAAGGCTGGAGGACGAGGAGTAGGTGAGGAGTTGATGGGGTTTCATTCCCATGTGTCTACCCTGCGTTCGCAATCGTCGATGCATGGTCGCCTTACTCTTGTGAAGGGCTTCGTATGTTGATGGAGGCTTCTGCACTCGGCAGAGCAATCCCGCAATTGTGCATCTAGCTTTCGGCATTGACCGAAGACAATGTACGAGAGCTGTTGAATTATGCTCCTCAGACCATCATGACCTACGGTTTTCGGGACCTGCAGGACATGACGCAGGAGCGGCCCATGCCAGCTAGCAGTGCTAGCCTGAAGGGAGCTTCCTGTAGTTGCTATGTCGTCCCTCTAACTAGCTGGCTGGCCTGGCATGCCTACCAGCGACTTCCAGGTGCCTATGAGGTGACGGAGTGTGCCGACCCGGAGGTAATCATCATCGGCACAGGCTCCGAGGTGCCAGGGAATTTGGCTTCCATGCCGCTGCCTTCGCAGACATGTACTTCGAACGGCCAGCCCTGAACTCGCCCACTCGCGTATATCGCTTGCACTCTCAAGACACGGCCGTCTCTTTCAGAGCTCAGCCCATCGTCGCCAGGAATCCGACCCTCCCTCGTAGATGCCAGCTTGCGTCAACATACTTGCGAATGCTTCGTGGAAAGACCGTGCAAAACAACAGGTGGCTATTGCTATGGCTCTTTCAGTCCCGAACACTGATATCTGCGAAACTTGAATCAAGAGGTGCACGTCTGCCTGGATGCCGCCAAGGCCATGGACCAGAAGGCTCACTGCAGCTTGAAAGCCCCATAGGCTTGCACTTTAGGATGAGTGGGTAGGTTTAATCAGTTAATCCTTGGATGACAAAGTTTGGACTGCCGGAGATCTTCAGGAACAGGAATGCAAACACGGCTCAGTTTGATTGGTGTTGAAGCACGATGTCAGTCCATTCTTGCGAAACAGCCACTGTACATCAGTGGCCCATTAGCGGAACACTTGAAACCTCCCGTCCAATCACATGCAGCTGCAGGACCGGCCAGGAAAGTCCTATGACCTGAAACCCTGTGCCCTGAAAATAGGTTCGTGTGGTGTCCATGCCATCGGTGGAAGTCTTCCGTGCGCAGTCGGACAGCTACAAGGAGTGCCAGACATGGCTAGTTGAGTTGGGCAGTTGGGCCCTTATTCCCCAAGGTGCCGAGTTCAGGGACTCAGAGTTTGGGCAGATTTGCGGGTATTCAAGTCGTGTGGCGAAGTTGGTGTGGCTGGTTGCATCGCAGAGCACAGCGTTTCGAAATGCTTACCATAATGCAAATCACAGTGTCCCTGGTGCAAAACCCCGCTAGAGATGCTATTGCACTGCAGGTGTCACTACAACTAGTGCTTTAGGACTTTAGGCTGCTGTATAGCCATGGCTCGAAGCATAAGCATAGGAGTGTGCCCCAAAGGGAGATATTTTGCGATTGCAGCAGCGATTCGGACTACTAGCACACAGCACCGCTAATCACCGTGTTTCAGCTTAGGGCCTGTCGTTTCCAACCGGATTGGCGGGCCCTGTGTGGAGCATCCCTGAAGCCCTGTGGTGTGGGATAAGACAACAGCGCACTTCAGCATTTGGGGGCCAGACCTCAGAGCTTTCGCATGCACGGTCTCGACAGTAGTGTCCTCGAAATGATGACGCAGTTTCAGGATGCATCGTTACAGCTGAAAGGCTCGTTCCCACCAAGACCTTCTCAATCAAGCTTTTAGCGACATCAGGTCTGAGTCGTTTGAAGACGTGAATCCATGTCTGAAAGCATAAAGCTCAAAGCTCGAGGACTCCCTGCTCCCGAAGGGCGTCCCGACTCTTAGCGTTGAGGCGCTTGCAGAACACGACCAAGCCTTTAGCTTTCTACACGTAGGATGTGAAGCTTGCGGGGGGGTTATGTTCCACAAGATCCCGGAGAAGTAGCAATTCGTGGAAGCTGTATCGGAGGGCTTGCCCTGATTGTTGTCATTGCAATGCTTTAGGACAATCATGGTGTTAACATATTACACTGCGCTGAAAGCTTATCCGCATCACCTTTGGAAGCAGCTGTTCTTGTGAGGAACGTCGTCAAGAGTGGGAGTCCGGCAATATCACTGTCCTACATCTTCTCCGACTCAGTAGCGTACAGCATGGGAACGATGAAAGCATGCAGTGGGGAAGGGAAGATGGTTCTGCAGTACATCTTCCCGATACACTAGACTCAGAATCGCCGTGGTTGCTGGCGCCTGCGCTGGCCTGTGGCGCAGCCTCGCACCACCACTACTGCTACTTCTTCTGCTTCTACTACTATTACTCATATTATGACTACTACTCCTCCTACCAATGGTACTACTACTACTACTACTACTACCACTACTACTACTACTACTACTACTACTACTACTACTACTACTACTACTACTACTACTACTACTGCTACTGCTACTGCTACTGCTACTGCTACTGCTACTGCTACTGCTACTGCTGCTACTACTGCTGCTACTGCTACTGCTACTGCTACTGCTACTGCTACTGCTACTGCTACTGCTACTGCTACTGCTACTGCTACTGCTACTGCTACTGCTACTCCTGCTGCTGCTACTCCTCCTCCTGCTGCTGCTGCTGCTTTTGTGCGCAAGCCTCTTTAGACACTCCGCCTTGTACAGCGATGACGCGGCTATAAAATCTAAAATTGGTCTCTAGGGTTGCCCGGTAGTACCTGCTAGCATGTGGCAGTACCTGATGGTACATGATAGTGCGTGGTAGTACCTGGTAATATCTGGATATATGTGGTAGGACCAAGTAGCACCTGGTTCTACCTGGTAGTACGTGGCGGATAGTACCTGCTACAGTACTTGGCACTGTGTGGTACTATGTGGCAGTACGTGTGGTGCCTGGTAGTACCTGCTAGTATGTGGAGCGCGTGGTAACTAGTAAGTAGTAGTACCTGGTAGTGCTTGGTATAGTACGTGGGAGTACGTTGTAGTACTTGGTGCAGTACTTGGAACAAAGTTGGAGGCCGACATCCAAGAGTGCTTGCCCGAGATGCAAAAACTCCTGTGGCATCTCGGGCTGCCAACGCCAAACATCGGCCACGGCAGTACTGTATGCGGAGTGAAGTGGTCAAATAACAAAATAGCAGGGCCGACATGCAGAGGTGGCTGTCCGAGGTGCAAAACCCTGGTTCTGCTTGTCGTAGTATGTGGTCATTAGTACCTGTTAGCATCTGGCCTTTCTGGTAGTACGTAGTAATATGTGGTAGTACCTGGATAGCACGTGGTAGTGAGTAGTAGTGAGCAGTAGTACCTGGAAAAGTATGTGCTAGTACGTGGCAGGAAGTGGTAGTACGCGGTATTGTTTGGTAGTACGCAGTACCTGGAATATACCGAGAGTGGTTGCCCGAGATGCAAACCTTTTTTGCAAGCTTAATATGGATCACAACATAAATCATTCGTGTTGCTGTTTTTCGATAGTCTGATTACACGTTGCTTTGACTTCTGGAGGCTGCATGCACATCGGGCTGGGAGGAGTTCTCGACGGCCCAGGCTGAAGGGTGATCTCGGCAACGTAAGTGCAAGTTGTAACATACCTTTGGCTGTATATGCTTTCACTGGACCTTTTGGGATGTGGAGGCACAGCACAGGCTGCTGCAGGGTCCAGGATAGTTCGAGCCTTAGGAGTCATTTATGGTTTAAGGCAAAATTTGCCCATCTTGGTTCGGGTTTTGGGCTTTGCGCCTGGAGTTGTGGGGTTGCTGTGGCCTGGATGCACCGGGTAGCATGCCGAAGAAGCCGGAGCTGGTCGGATGCAGCAACATATCTAAGTTTCTTCGATGGTATGGTGAGAAACCTGCAACTCCGAGAATCTATGAGAGCTGCGGAGTCCCATAATGATCATGAGGAGTGCGGGAGTGTGTGATGTATGCATGTACATACATATATATGAATATATATATATATATGTATATATATATATATATCTTGTCTATGTATGTGTATCTCTGTCTGTCTCTTGGTCTCTGCTGTATCTGTGTCTATCTTGATCTGTGTCTGTCTTTCTATATCTGTGTCTCTCTTTGTCTGTGGGTATGCATATACACATATAGATGGTGCAACTGCAGATCTCCAGGCAGTGATAGAGCACCTTGACGACTAAGACGAGCAACAAGGACCACCATCCACCACGACCTCCAGGACTACACCATGCCCAGATCACAAAAGGGAAACAAGACCACCACCAAGAACTCCAGGAGACCACCAGCAAACCCCAGAAGACCACAGCCGAACTGCCTCCCCGAAGCACTGGCGGATTCAAGAGCGTCCCCCAAGCACTGGTGGGACTCAGGTTCACTCCATGAACTGTCTCCTAAGTACTGGCGGGATTCAGAGTTTTCGAGACCCAAGAGGCAGCTGCGCGTGTATTCGAATTTACAATCAATGGAATGGTACAATGAATCGGGCTTCCCGGAGACGGTCTCCGGCGGATCCCGAGTAAATACAAGGACGAGTCCAAAATATGCATTGTGCACGGCGGAAGGTGTGAACTCTGTCTGCAGCACGCCCACACTCAACCTTGAGCAATTTTCTTGGCACTTGATGTTGGACCTCATAGTGTCTATCACACTGGTTGGGAAATACATACATACATACGTGCATACATACATACATGCATACATACACATATACACACATATATATATATATATATATATATATTCTATATACACATATTGAAACATGCATTTTTGCACCCCTCCTCTCCCACCGCCGCAGGATCTCAGGGGAGCCATCTGTGTTCAATCTGAATTGCATGCATGTTGCTTTTGCGTTCTGCCGTCGGTACTTTTCGTTCGTATGCCGAATACCATCATCACGGAAGGTAGGCATCAACGTCTTCGGTGCATCGGCTCCGGGTGGTACCTGCCTGGATAAGTTCGGCTTCAACGTCTTCGCCTCAACATGCAGAGTTTCACTGTTCTCTTTGAGGAGGTGGAGTGATCGCACCTTCGATTGAGATTGCTGACTCTCAGGATTCGTTTCGTTGTCAAAGTTGTTGGAGTACCAGATTTACCTGCTGTAATCCAGGGGATTTTCGTCGAGACAGTGGCAATCTGCAGTGGAGACGGGGCTATGGCTTTGAGGAACCGCAGGCGGGTGTCCATGAACCAGGATCAGGTCCTGGCATACCCGTGGCGACAGACCCAGTGGAAGGAACAAATGCGGAAAATCGAGGGTAGTCCTCCAGAATGCAAAGCATGCCTGCACCCGGCTTTCCAGGCCGACAACGTCAAGGCCTGCGCAGAGAGGCCGCCTGGGGTTTGGCTTGGCTTGCACAGGGTAAGCAAAAGAAGAGGCGTTTGTGTTGCTTCGTGAAGGCTCCGTGGTTGCGGCGCTCGCAGCACTGAAGGGCTGGAGGGATCGATTTGGATCGATTTTGTGTTGGATACGAGTCAGGAAACCTGATGGGAAACTGCTCTGAGAAAAATGGCATCACAGGGGTCCGACAACAGCTTGAACATAAGTGACGACATGAGACACTTGAACCAGGGATTGGGCGAGTAAGGAGTGTGAACAGCTGTGGTACTTTCCTGTGCCGGCTGCCTGGAGCAAGCGAAGCAATGATCTGGCATTGGGTTTTGAGTAAAATGCTGAATTGGGGTGTGGTTCAAATGTTTTGGTGTCAGGCAGACAGGGTCCTGTTCCAACGTTAGGCTGTTTCTTTGAGATGTGCGATCTACACAACGAGGACCATCAAAAGGCACAGGACAGACTAGCCTCCACCTCAAACACGCGACAGATGCCGAAAGGTGCCTGAAGGGCGAGACTGGAGTCCTGTCGGATGGCTCTCAGGGCAAGCACTGAGTGCTTCAGGTTCCGCCGGGGCCTCGGCAATGCCAAAGCACTTCTTGCGGTCGCTAGTTGGTCGAGGGCGTGAATATTTCCAAGCTTCGGAAAGGCTGAATGAATCTCAAGGTTCGTCGAAAGACTAAAGCACATTGGTCGTAATGAAAGTGTCTTCGCGTTCTCGTGCCACGTCCCTGAAAGAGGTTTCGAGTCCCAGTTTGAATGCGTTGCAAATTGTCCACTGCCCCTCTCTACCTGGTTTCTTGCTCGCTCTATCTCCCTCTCCCTCTCCCCCGCCCCCTCCCGCTCTCTCTCTCTCTCTCTCTCTCTCTCTCTCTCTCTCTCTCTCTCTCTCTCTCTCTCTGTCTCTCTCTCACTCTCTCTGCAGCACGGGTAGCTCGCCAGCAGATGCAGACGTTTGCAAAACTAGTGCAGCTGCGCTGCCACTGCCTGAGTGCACATGCTTGCGGCGTCTCGGTGTTGGCTCCACTGCTGTAAAAATTTATCTTAAAGACGGCCCGAACGAAGCCTGCTCGCAGTAGACGGACGAGTGAACATGCCGTCAAGCAAGGTCCACGCCCTTGTGCAAGTGCGAAGCACGGTGTCCCAGACAGCTGTTGATGTCATCTTGTTGGAGCATGCAAAGTGCCAGGCAGAACGTGCATTGGACGAACAGGCTCGCTGAGAGGCTGCTGGGTTTCACCTGATTTAATTTGTAGGTGTTCATCGCTTGTTTGGTGTTACCCCGAAAGCAGTATCAGTTTTTCCACGGCACATTTCTCCAGAACTTCCCCGAAGCGCACTCGAGTCCGATTTCAAATAAAATCTGCCGCCCTAGGTCAGGGAATCCTCAACCTCCTACTCCAAACCCTGCGTGTTGTAAGCCCAGAAGACTGGCTCAGAGATTTGAGTTGCTTGTCAGACGGCGCAGATGATACTTCAGCAATCGAAATTAGGATTTAGGCCTCCTTGGCAATTTCTCCGATCGGCTTTGAAGCCCGTGTGCAGCAAAAGGATGCAATCAGAATCGGCGGCGTTTGCTCTTGGAGGATTGTCCGGCTTTCTGCCTTTTCGCGCCACCCACCTACATTCGTTCTCTAACAGGCTCCGGCGAAATTTTGGCGCCGCATCCCGCGATGATGACTGGATCGTGTCGAGTAATCGTGTCGAGTACTCTGCGAACATGGATGGTGTTGAGGCCCACTGGCTCGGTGACATCAACGAGTCGTGACACGGTTCGGTGCACCCATCCCATCTGAGATCTGCGGTAGTCATAGAGTGAACCCTACAACCGAAAAGAATTCGACCTCGGCTTTCGATGTGAGCTGTTTCGGTCATGCAGAGCGGAGCAGCCGACATCTACGGAATGCTACCGCACAGTGGCCAATCCGTTCCGAGACTCCGTTGCTAGCATACGATACCCGGACCCAAACTGAGTCAGCACTGTTAGAACTGAAAACACCATTGAGGCTCAAGAAAGCTTTGGCAACCATGAGACCATGACACGCCAATCCACATCTGCCGAGAAATGCCACGATTGGTCGAGATGGCCGCACACCTCAATCTAGCATCGTCCTTCATAAGACAGAAACCTTCACAAGCATTCACACCCTAAGCTCGGCCAGCCCAGCCCCCGGAATGCATCATGCTGGAAACCGTGCTTCCGGACGAATTTCCTGCAGGAAGCACACCGCACTCAACAAGCTACGACTCTACAACCGACCAAGCCTCAAGCAGTAGTTCGCCACGGCACCCGGATGGAAGCCCATGCTGCTGTTGCTGCTGCAGCACCATGTCTTGAACGAGCGTTGAAAGTCCGAAGATGGCGAGATAGTGGCAAAAGTCGTAGCAATTGCAGCCGTGTTAGCAGTTGTTAAAATTGCAGAGGCAGATGACGACAACACTGACTTGTGATGATGATGGCTCAATAGTTTTGAGCACCAGGTGGCCTTCGACCCCCCCAAACGATGGGCTCGCAGAGCTAAAGCCGAGACCAAGGCAAACCGTCAGGCTTGAGGGTGTAGGGTGTTGGTTTCAGGCATCAAGACCAAGACTTCACAGTTTGGGGTGCAGGGCATTGAATTCGAAGTGTTCTGGTGAAGTAGTTGTGAAGGGATCTTAGTTTCAGACAGTCTTGATTCGCGAGTATTCTTGAGCATATAGGTTTTTGGGCAGGCCAGCGGCAGTGAGTCCACCCAAGCCTTGCATAAGCCGAACATCCTAGATTGGACAAGCAGCATAGCAGGATACGGCCGAAGATCAACCAGCCGACGAGGTGCTTCTTTGAGCTGCTTACATGCAAGCATCCTGAGTAGCTGAGCAGGGCGTGGTGCAGTTCTTACTGTTGGAGACGCGGTCTACCCAAAGCTTGAACAGTCTTGCTTTGTCCGGCATGCCAACACAGAAGACAAAGCTGAAAAGGCCGAAATGTGACCTTTCCCAAAGACCAGTTCAGGGTTAGCATGAGATTTGTCACCCTACATCTCCGAAACTCTGAAAGGTATGTACGTACATACACACCCTCCCCCCCGACCCGAAATTTTCTGATCGCTTCGTGTGGGCTCCTTCCGGTCCTGATTCGCCCTCCGGTCGCAGCAAAAAAGGGTCCCCTGGCCCCGACCCTTTTCCCTTTTTTTGCGAAGCCGTATAATGACTGAAAGCAAGAGCGCTGCGGAGGCGCCTCCGACTAAGGGAGCGCTCCACAATGAGAGGCTGGACTGAGCGGCTTGCTTGTTGCAATTCTTGACAGCCCGCCAAAACCGGAATAATCGAGCTCCTGGCAAAGCTAAACAGCTAAACTGGCAAGGCAGCCTACCCAGGAGGTGCCAGAGACAGAGGCAAAACCCAGTGGCCCTGTCCGGCCCTGAGGCTGCCTGATCGAGTAGTTTTCAGATTCTGGTGGAGCTCTGTCCCTCATGACTGCAGCTTGCGAAAGCTTAACGCATAGCTGGCATAGCTTGTTTGGCTTCACGTCCAGTTCCCAGGTAGCTTTGCTGGAAGTGTCGGTCCTTGAGCGTCGGGGCTGTGCTTGCTTTACTCAAGCAGACGTTCGCGCTGAAACTGTTTCTGATAGGAGCAACCAAGGAACAAAAGAAAAGAATTGAGACGAGGAAGAACAAATTCACGGCAATGGTTGAAATTACCAAAGCAGCTCAGTGCCACCTCCACCACCAACACCGCCACCACCACAACGACAACAACAAGTCAAACTTGTTCTTGGGGGCGGACTTTTCCAACTGCGAAGCAGGGTCAGGGTCAGTGCTCAGTCAGCGGCTTGAGGATTCAATTTCAACTTTAGAGAAGCATCACCTACCCGGGAAGCGAGGATACACACACACCTCTTGCCGACCTGTCTCCTCAGAGGTTAACTTGCTCTCCGCTCTTCCGTCGAGGATAAAACTTTCACCGGGGCCGCACCGCCGCGGGGGTAAACCTCCAGACAGGTCGGGCACTGGAGTTCTGCTCTGCCGCTCATGCCAAGTCCTTTGGGACAGGCTCTGCAGCTGCCACGAACATGTTTTCAGTTGTGCTGCTTAGGGAGAACCCTCATGGCGTTCCCCACCTTTGGCATACCTTTCCTTTTGCAGCTTGACCCTGCCCGTCCTACCCGGTCGGCAACCCATGCCCGCTTGGCAACCAAGCCCTTTCTTCTTGACACTGACTTTGAGTTTCCTTGCTTCCGGGAGCGTGCACAGCTGATGGCACAGTTGCGGGGCAGCAGCAGCAGCAGCAGCAGCAACTGCAACTGCAACAGCGCGAGCAGTAGCTACGCAGAAGCAGGAACAGGAACAGGAACAATCAGAAACAACAACCACGGCCGGCCACCACGACCACACCTGCACCAACAGACACAGCCACAAGCACAACCAACAACCACAGCACCGCCACCACGACGACGACGATGATGGGGTCGACGGCAAAGTAATGACAATCATGACGGAGACGAAGACGAAGACAATGATGACGATGGCCATGTTAATTACTGCGGCATCTGCTGGAGCCACTTTCGGTCTGAGCGAAGGGGGCTGTTGGAGAATGATCCAACCAAGGCTCTCGGAATGCTCAGCATTTGCGATTCGGGTGTCAGGTTTTCAACGAGGCATAGGGGGCCTCGGGGCATCATGCAACCATGGCCCACAACTCGAAAAAAATACCAATCCTTTCAGAAGCTTTCAGAAGCCCTAAACCGAAGTTGTTCTTGGAACCTTGCACTTCCCCGAAGACCTTTCCAATCCAAAACCAAACATACTGGAAGCACCCCCCACTCACCAACAGCAAAAGGTTGAAGGACGCCACAAGCCTCAGGAGCCAGTGCCCCTGGGAATCGCGATGCTTCGCATGGGCTCATGATTCAGCCGTTTGAGAGTTCAGGTTCTCGGGGTAACGGGGTTAGGATGTCGGTGTTGAGGGCTTTTGGGGTACAGAGCCGGGGCTAAAGACTTTCGTGGCTAGGTGCCAACAATGTGAGGCATAGACACAGAACCTAGGCATGAGGGTAGTTCAGGAGCTTGAGCATAACTGCAGAGGCT